TGTTTCAAGTTTGTAATAGATTAATTAGGATGTTAATTTCCGCATCTTTATTTTCAGTCAAATATTGGTGTATCTGCCCAAAAGCCTTGTAATAGCGTAAATTTTATTTTCGCACTCTTTAAATTCCGCAACTGTTACCTGCCTAGATGTATGAATAATAGGATTTAATGGCAATCCAAATAACTTTAAAAAGGTAGATAACCCTAATTGTACAAAGATAATTAACTGTAAAAACACACTTGCACATGCTCACTCCTAGGGTTTTCCCCACTTGGTTGCCTCGGAAAAACAATGGTCGTGTCCCTCGAATGTAGGGATATCTTAACAAAGACCCACGATTCAAAGTCGTCATAAAGATCATGGTCCCTCCTTGTCCCTCGAGTTGCCTACGAAAAATGATCTTATGACGATAGTCCTTTCGAAATGCTAAGGTATCCTTACTTGTTGCCTTCAGAGACCATTTTGTCCCTTTCGATTGTCCCTTAAAATTCCAACGACGGAGCTACCTACTCCTTAATAGTAGGATAGCGCTGTCTAAAGGAAACGAAAACGAACATACTTTTTTCGAGTAGGTAGATAGTTCCTATGCACTTCTTAAACAAAAAAATTTCACACAAACATTTTTCAAAAAAATTTTTTAAAACAACTTCGTCACACTCTTGAGGACCGATACAAGGGTTATCACTAAGCAAACAAAACTTTTTGCAAAACACACACAAGAAATTTCAAAAAAATGAGCAAGTACCTAAGAGCCTGTGGAAAACCAAGGATAGAAAGGGTGCTAACACCTTCCCTTTCTATAATCTACCCCCCGTACTCAGAAACATCTCAAAAAAACGTTTTTTATGTTCTTTTTCCTTTCCTTAGTTGGATGAAATAAAAGTCGATGGAGACTTTTGCTTACCGCAACATTTGCAAATACAAAATGCAAACCAGTAAAATAGTCGGTTCTGCCACCGTATCACAATAGCAATCAAGAGGTTGAATCCACTAGTAGTGAAGATGATGATCTCATCAAGAACATTGAAAATGTTCTATGAAAAGAAAGAAAAATGGAAGCACCAACAAGGAAGGTTATATGCTTTGAATGTGGAGAAAAGGGACATGTTAAAAGTGAATGTCCTACACTTGAAAAGAAGAAGAAATTTTTCAAAAGAAATAAAGATAAGAAGTTAAAGAAAGCATATATAGCATGGGAAAGTTCATCTTCTGATTCTGAAAACAATCAACGTGTTAATCTTGCATTGATGGCCTCACACCATTCCGATAATGAAGATGATGAGGTTAGTAATTAATTTTCTCTTTTTGATAGTGATGCACAAGGTGCTATAGATGATCTATTAAATGAATGCAAAATTTTGTATAAAACTATTTCATCTCAAAAACAAATTTCATCTTTAGAAGAAAAATGTGAAACTATGGAAAAAGATTTCAAAGAAGAAAAGCAGAAATTAAGTGATGAACAAAAACATAATTTTGTATGTAAAAATTGTGAATCACTCTCTTTCCAAATTGTCCAATTAAAAAGAGTTATTGAAAGATATGAAAAAGGTCAAATTGGATTGGAAGGTGTTCTTAGCCAACAAAGATATTCCAATGATAAAAAGGGACTTGGATAATTAATGTTTTCAAAACCAAGTTCTAATAAAAATATCTTTGTTAAGGCTAGTGATCAATAATCCAAAGAGAAAGTGAACAAACCTAAAGTGGTTCATTATTATCCTAAAAATAAAACATTTCCTAAGAATAAATCTTACCCTTCTAGATATAGAAGTAATTTTGTTCCTGTTGCACCCCAAAATTTGCCCTCCTAATTTCCTTTATTTTGGCTTAGACTTTTGCATTCATCTGCATATTTTTTCATTAGGTCACCAACATGGCATACATTTCATTCAATATAGCTCTGAGGTTCAAAGTTCAGTGGTTGTGCGATACTAGGGTTTCATAGTGGTTAAGGCGCTCATATCCAATAAAGGACTTTTTCTCCCTCAAGCAGCAAGGCTATTATCTTCTGATGAACAACCGATTGTAGGTCATTCTGGTCAAGAACTCTAGGACGCGACCTAGCATATGTGGGCTTCGAATCATGACGTCCTTTCCTATAAGTATGCTTGTCATTTGATTAGGGTTAATGACTGTGACATGACAATCGTCTACTCCTCAGTTAATCAAATTTAGGTTTTGTTGAATCATGGTTCAAAGATGTTTTATCCGGATATTTCTCTGTGCGTCTGAACGAGGAATCAAGATTGAAGTAGGTTTCCCATAGAAGAATTCATGCAAGGTAATTCAAGGTCCAAGGCATTCAAGGAAGGGTTTGTTCAACATGGCATACCCGGTTGATGGGCTTACAAGTTCTTATGAGACCTTGAGATGCATAAGCATGGGCCAATTTCAAAGATATGTGGACAAGATCTGTTGACTTCGGTTAAAGTAAGCTTCGAAAAATTAACTTTAGGACCAAGGTCTCCCTTGAATTTTCATCTAATATGTGTTGGGAATTCGAGTTGCATTTGAAGAATGGTATGGTAAAGGAAAAGAAATATTGGTTCAGAAAAGAAAAAAATTCATTAAAAATCAGGGTTTCTATTCATTGATAAAATTTCAAGATTGAAGTTAGGAGTTCATTGAGAATGCAAGTGTGATTTGGATTTGAAGTTTGATTTGAGTTCAAGATTTTGATTGGATTAAAGTTGGCAAAGAGTCTTAAGCATTGTTCATATGGCTTTCTTGGAAGGTAAAGTATAGACTGCAAGGTTTTGTTTCAAGTCAGAGTTCATACGCATTACAAAGACGTTCATCGTTATTCCAGATTCAAGTTGACATGTGCTCAAAGTTTATTCGAACCCTTTCATTCATAATTCAAGAAAATACTATCCAATTCCATTCAATTTCATTCAAGTGTAACAATACCTTACAAGAAAATTTGATGCTTTCATGTCTTCAAGCATTTTTCAAGACTTTGTCATTTAAACTCCGTCCTTAAAATTCATCACCCAACATTTCAAGCTCAAAGGTCATTTATAATTCACACTATAAATTTCAAGTTCATCCAAACCAAACATTCATTATAAAATCATTACAATCCCATTACACCAATATTCTACAAAGAAAAAAAAACTGTTACAAAATACACTTGAACAAAATTCTTTAGTCCTAAAGGTGCTAAAATTCCATGAGTAAACTTCTAATTCCATGCCATGCCAAAGTTCTTCATCTTCAGTTTATGACCTGCACATTCATACAAAAAAATCCAAGTCAATACAAGCAATCATGCCAAAATATCCTATGCTCATACAAATTATTCGACACATGAAAAACCATTAATTAACCAAAACCAAAACTCAAACACAGGGGATTTCACTGTATCAGAAAGATTGAAGAGTAGTGTACATGTTAATTTGGTTTTCTATCTAATTGTGGGATCTATTGGCCTTTTCGGAATTATTCTTCTCATTATGATGCACAGGAGCTGGAGTGGGAGTCTTTTGGGATTTGCTATGACTTGCTCAAATACATTCGGACTTGTTCCGGGTGCATTTCTTCTTGGCTTTGGTTTAAGTGAAATTCCTAAAAGCATTTGGAGAAATGCCGATTGGGCAACTCGTCAGGAAATTCTCTCCAACAAAATTGCCCAAATGGCTGTCAAACTTGACGATGCTCACCAAGAACTTTCAAATGCTATTGTTGTTGCCCAAGCAACCTCCAAGCAGATGTCTAAGCGGGATCCTTTGAGACCTTATATGAATGTCATTGATGATATGCTTACTCAAATGTTTAGAGAAGACCCATCCTTCAAACCACAAGGTGGACAATTAGGGGAAAATGATTATGGAAGATTATTAGATTAGATTACTCCAACCAAACAGTGCCTTCATTGCAATTCTTTACTTCGCTTTTAAACTACATAATTGCTTGTGATTGAACTGTGAAGTTTGAGGGTTTGTTGTGTCATGCCAATCAATTTACAGACAAGTAATGAATTCATGATACCTTCTGAGGATATGGTATTTGGGTTTGAATTCAAAAAGCTCGGCTCAAAACGGCATAGCAGTTCTAAGATAGCTAAAGAAAGTTATGCATTGCCACAGTTAGATCGAAGTCCGAACCCAAAGGGTGCAGATAAGTTGAGGTTAAAGAGTGGTTTTGGTCCACAATGCAGTGATCTCAAACAGAAAGCAAAGCAGGATGTGGAAGGAAACATTCGGAACCGGGAAACTGCAAAGAGAAGTGGAAACGAACGCGATGAGCTTGTAAAACACATGTCTAATTTGCCAGGTTATCTCCTGCATAATGATAGATTGGAAAATGTTCAAGAGAAAGCATTCAATGTTGGTGTTCTAGATTGGTCTCGACTCGAGAAGTGGAAGCACAAACATATACCAGAAGAACTAACTAATCATTTCACATCTGTCAATAGAGGTGAATCGTCATCAAGAATAGTCACTAAATCGTCCCTCAGTGCTGGTGGAAGGGAAAAACTTGACAACACAAAAAGTTTGTGAGATGTCGGACGGACCAACAAGGAATCAGTTGCTGGAGTCAGGTCCCGATAGTAGTTTTAAAAATGACCATAGCAAGCCAAGTAATATTGTGTTGCTCTAACCACATGAAACTTCCAACTCAAGTTCTTTAGATGATTTCCGGCTTTCTGAATTCAGAACATCATCAGATGAAAATTGTCCAGAATCAAGCCGAAGTAGTTTATCATATGTTTCCGTTCTTGAGGAGGATTACATTGGCAATGTAGGTCCAGAAATCCGACTTTCAAGTGGACGCCGTTCAGTGGTTGAGCATACATCTTTTTCTGGACCAATGCAACACAGTGTTAGTACTACTTATCTCAAGATGAATGTCTCCAACGCCAGACTGTACCGGTTTCCCACCAACATTCTCAAACAAATGAAGTTCAGAAGTCTGAAAAAGATCCTGTCTTTAACCATGAGGTAATCAAAACAAATAATCCCAACTGTGAATCACAGTATGCAAAATTGCAGCAGATGAGTAATCAACAGGCCACAGTAAATGAACAACCTAGTAGCCAAATCAATCGTAGTAAGCAGGTGCCATTTGGCTTATTGCTCCCTATCTTGATTCCCCAACTTGCCAAAGATAGAGCAATGCAACTTACAACATTATTTAACAAATTGAAGAAAGATGAAATACCCAAAGATCATTTTGTACGGCTTATGAAAGGGATTGTGGGGGATCAGATGCTTAGAATAGCATTGACGAAAGTGCAACAACAAACAAAAGCCAACGCAGGTTCTTCTGGACAGCAGCACCCTGTAAGGATGCCAACAGTTACTTCCAGTGGAACAAAATTTAATGATCCCCATGCATTAGCACAACTGCATCAGAGAAGTATGAATCCTGCTGCAGACCATTCTCATAATACTTCTTCAGCTATCCAAGTGAAGAGTGAACCGACCTATTCAACTATGGACATTGGTGCTAAAAAGTCTCTGGAACATGATGTTCGAGTTGTGCAACCAAATCAATTACCATCATCAGGTTCTAATGTCGTCAGTCAAGAAACTGAAAGATCCTCAGTTCACATACAAGGCCTTAATAAGCAGCAACAGCAGCATATACATTTCCCATCGACATATGGAAGCCGTGGTGGTAACTATAACCATTTTTCCGGGACAGCTACTGGTTCGTCATCTCTCAGACCACAACCTCATCCTCATGATTCACACATAAGGCAAATTCCTCATCAGAATATTGGTTTAAATCACTTGGCAGAAGATGGCAGGGAGAGCTATAATCTTGATATTGAGATTGATCAAGGGACTGTTGGCACATCTCAACAAGCTGAAAGTGGATTTCCAGATGCATTTGACATATCTCTGTCTCACTTTGCTCTCGTTTTAGCACTTAAAAATGAATCTGGTGGTATCCAAGAAATTGTACTGGAGGTTGACATCCGTCTAACATTTAATTTGAGAACTACTGGGATGAAATTGACAGTCGAGCTTTCTTGTTTATTAATCCTCTCGCAATTTATCCCTGAGAGAGTGGAAAAAGAAATGATAATTCCTCATTTTTCTTCTGTGACATCAAAAGGTTTGGCATCTCACCTTGCATCAGCAGATCCTTTTTCAGGATTTCCAAACTTCAGTGAATTGAACTCAAATATTGACGCAAGTTCTTCAAGAGACCCTACTCCTGTTCAATTAAGTCGGCAGAACCAAATTTTACAAAATTTAAGAGCTTTTATATCACTAGAGAAGCCGGATAATGATTCGTTGCATTTTTTCGGGTATTGGTTTGGTGTTGGGCGTCTCTCAGGTTTCGATATGACTCTTTCTGTATATGTAATCCAGACGATTTCCTCAATGGCCTCCTCATTTTCTGGGACATCCAGCCACAACACAACAGAAGCTTGAAGAATGGGAAACAGAAGATTAATTAACAGCTCATCAATTTCCTCCTAACAACTTTATAACTCTCTAACTACCTCCAAACAGAATTCCCAACTAGCATAACCACCTTGTAACCAACTCTCAATCTCACCCTTCAATCCATAACAAACTCTATCCAAATCAATGGTTCAGATTGATTCCCACATAACCGTTTCCTCCCTCAATTACCTATATAATCCAAACTCCCTCCAAGTTTGAGGGGACGGGACGATACTTTCTCTTTTCCAGTTTCAAACTTCATCCTCTCTCCACCATTTTTTTCTATCCTCTTCCATCAACACGCTTCATTTTTCACCCAGAACTCAAAAAGTTTTCGGAATTCTCTCTCTTTCTTCTCTAACCAATACTCTTCACCCTTCAAGCCACTCTTCATTTTTACTTACTTCTGAAACCCTGCTTCATCTTCATCAAATCATCTCTCTGTAAACTCAAATCACACTCCTACAATCTCACTCAAACACAACTCACAACGACAACCGCAACAACGATTTTCACAAAAGAAATAGAAGAAAAAGAAGAAGAAGTCGTGCAAAGAAGTTAAGAGATATTGTACCTGAAACTTCTTCAGATTTTTCGTTGTCGGCATCACCCTCGAAGAGACACCAGGTGCCTTCTCCAGTTGGTAAGCCTTCTTCAATCTTTCATTCTACATTTTATGCTCTTTGTCGAAGAATGAAACTTGAATTTTAGTCCACGAAGAGGTTGATGGAAGAGAGACGTGTGAACCGAGGCGGATCAAAAACGAACAATGAAGAGAGGAGCAGAGGTTTGAGATACGAGTGAATTGTGAAACCAAAGTAGAAAGAACGAGTCGGAGGTGTGATTCGGCACCATTGAGGGAAGAGGAAGAGGACTTTGTTTCTCTTGAAGTCTAACCGTCACACGATTTGGGAACCCTGGGAATAAAATCACGCCATTCATTTGTTTGTTGTGTTTTTCTAATTCCTTTTATTGATAACGGTGGAGATACACAAAGCTGAATAAAAGGTGGATGGATCTTGGTATGATCTTAGTGGACCGAGGTATACACCATTCAGGTCCATGGCCATTATTTTCGGGAGTTGGTTTTTGGTGAGGTATAAAATATTGGGTTGGGCCTGCGAGTCAATGTTACTACAATACACACCCTGCTTCAGACTCACACACCCCTGTGTAGAGTTTTTCTAGCTTTTCTTTAGCCTTTTCTTTTCATAGTCGTTAGATAACAATTTTGTTAATAAAAATATTGATATAATAAAAACCTAAAAAATGTTAGATTGTAAGAGATATTTTTTAGAAATTAATTCTTGATTATCCGATTACTCGAGACTCGTGATTCACTTTTGTTTTTGAAGATTTGAGTCTTATGCATGCTTATTGTGTGATATACGGATATGCTTGAGGTTCCGATTGTGATTTATTTTCACATCAATGATGCTTCAACACTTATTCTGAGCATTGGATTTCTAATTCTTTTCTTTGTTGATGCTAGCAGCTCATGAGATCATCAAGTTTCTTTGCTTTTTACTTTGCTCTACGAGCTAGTACTCGTTTGGTATATTTTATTTCCACTCTCACCCCGCATTTATCACTTCCCATTGATTGTATGGTATGATGACTTTAGGTTTAGAACTAGGTTAGTCTCCCTGTGACTTTTCTTTTTTTCTTTTTGCATATGCAGTTAAAACAAAAAACTTTTTTTTACAAACTTCAAAAATACATAAAAATTTACTGACAAAAACCATGTCTTGGCTAAGTTTGAGAGATGGTGAGCGGGTTTCTTCTCGACATTATTATTCTTTTGTTCTAAGCTTTAGTATGATTCAAGTCTCAAAGACTCATTTCATGAATAAGTAGAGAAATGGCTAAAATCTCTCTCTTGAGGTTAACTAGCTATTATCTACAAGCAAAAACACCAACAAACATAAAAATCTTTTTGCCCTCGGGCCTTTCTTTCAAATCTTTTTCAAAAGAGCGTATTAGTTCACTTCTGTGCTGACGCATAAATCTCCAAAGGTCGAGTTGCGGCAGAAGGCGAGATTAATACTGTTCGTTAAAGAAAATACAAACAAACAAAAACACATAAGCCGAACTACGGCTGCTCTGATTCCTTAAAAGGGATACGTAGGCATCGGGGTAGGGCCCGAACGAGCACAATTTTATTTTCCCTACTTTCTTTTTCCCCTTTCTTTTGCATGCATTTTCCCTTAGCAGTAATAGACAGTAAGCATAGGTTGAACACACCCATAAGATAGACAACAAGAGTGGATACCGTAGAGTACTACGGGCGTGTGGGGTGCTAATACCTTCCCCTCACGTAACAGACTCCCTTACCCTTATCTCTTGGTCGTTCGACCTTGATTTCATCCTTCTCGGGTTTTCTCAATGTTTACCTTTCCCTTCATGTGGGATAAAAGACGTTCGATGGCGACTTCATTGTTTTGATGATTTTCAGCCGGTTGTTTCAGCTGGCGACTTCACTGGGGATAGGTCGACCAAATGCTGGTCCATCCCGGAGTCGCTCCTAGATCTTGCTTTCTTTTCTTTGGGTGTCGATTGTTATGCTTTCAGTTTACTCATTTGTACATGTTTTCCTGAGCATAAGTTTGCATTGCATTTTATTGCTTTCCCTATTTGTTATCTATTATGATGGACTCTGTTTTCCATGTTGGGTGGGGATGTTACTATTAAGGTAAAAGGCCCAGTACCCAGGCCAGAATGCACTAGGACACCTAGGAATAGAGTGGGGGCATGACGGATATAGGACATGGTCCGATTAGTGCAGTCATGTCATATGCCACGCTCGGATGAGGTTCAATTGAAAGTACTTTCATCATGCACGTCTGTGTTGTGATGATTTTACTTTCAGGCGGACCCGTGATTTTCGAGTTACCATTATCTCACCCTGACCTAGTCTTCACACATGAGTGGGGAGGGATTTGTCATTACAGGTACAGTTGGTGACTATGTTCAAATGGTTACTCGTGCTCAGTTGGTGATTATGTTCTGATAGTGACTGTTGTTCTGTTGGTGACTATATGGGTCTCAGATTTATTTTTATTTTTTTCTTTCTGGATTCGGTATTCAGGATGGTTATCTAGTTATGTTCCGGACCTTTGATCCTGATATATTTTACTTGGTCAGAGATTATACAACGGTTAATCATGGTACTTGGTTCCATTGTATGCTGAATTTGGTTCTGAACCTTTGATCCTGTGATATCCATATTATTCAGCAGATTTATACAACAGTTATCCAGAGGATTGTACAATTGTTATGCTGAACTTTTGAACTTATGTCATTGCACCTTGCATCATAACATGTTTATTTTACACAAAAAAGGAAATGTGAAAGATTATATGCAAAAAAAAAATGTTTGAACATGGCATTGCATCCGCTCATTCACCTCATGCATCCATAGCAGGTACTCCGAAGGTACTCAGAATGGGGAATCCTTATTCAGACTCGGTATTTTCTTTGCAGAGCTGCAAATCTTGACTTCTCGTCGCTTCATGGTCAGATTCAAGATATGGAACAACTTCGTGGGGAATTGGACGAGATGAAAGAACAGATGGGATTCGTGGTACTAGACATGCAGGATTTGGTTTGTGGACAAGAACTCCTGAAAGAAGAGAACACTCAGTTGAAGACTCAATTGAATTTGGTTATGGAAATTTTTGGGACAATGTTGAAGAAAGAAGATGTTTCTATGCCTGCCACAATAGGAGTTACCAATCCTCCCCATAACCTGAGGACTCTTGTAGGTCAGGGAGTACCTCCTCCGCAACCGTGCATTCCAGGATCCTCCCATCCGCAACAAGTTGTCACTTCCCGAGAGGACCCAAAAAGCAAAGTCCGTCAGCAGAGGCCAAAACAGCCTGAACGAAAATTTGATCATATTCCAATGTTGTATGCACAATTGCTTCCTCCCCTGCTAGAATTACATTTGGTTAAACTCCGAATTTTCACTACACATGAAAAACGCCCTCATGGCTTTGACGACAATGCTAGGTGCGATTTTCTTTCTAGGACACCTGGTCATGATATTGAAGATTGCGTAGCTTTTAAGCACCAAGTCCAGGACTTGCTTGATGCAGGGACAATTCTCTTCACTCCCGAAGGTCTAAGTGTGCAAATCAATCTTATGTCAACCATTACAAAGAATAGGGCTACGCCTTCTCCTCTTCAAAGTTCTATCTCACGATCGGAGTCACGTCATCCACAACCTATAATCCCGGAAAGTTCTCACCAGCAGTCGTTTGTAAGTTGTGGAAATCGGTTGGTTAATCAAAACCAGAATGTTCCTCGTGTTCACTTGGCTCAGTGTGCTACTCGGCAACAAACCTATCAACAAAGACATACGCAACAAGGTAAGCAAAAGGATAAGAAGCCTAAGAGGGTGTTCGACATTGTTCCTTTGACTTATGGCCAACTGTTCTCTCAGTTACTCAAGCTTTCCATGGTGGAACCCAAGCCACTGAAGCCTGTCATTCCTCCTTGTTCTATGGATTCCAATCCTAATGTGCAGTGTGATTACCATGCTGGGGCACTAGGTCATTCCATTGAAGACTGTTGGGCTTTCAAAGAAAATGTGCAAGACCTGCTTGATGCAAAGGCTATCAATTTCGGGCCAGTCAGTTAAATTTGAGGTCTCCTTCGACTCAGTAAATGTCAAGATTGCCAGATCATCATCTGAAGCAATAAGTCCATACCGAGACTGGTCTCCTCAACGTAGAAATTTCTAGTTTCATTTTCAATTCTCATTTGTAATCTTTCTTGCTTTGGTTCAGTACTTTCTTGTATGCAAAACTTGTTGATCCTTGAATATTAATCATAATGCATTGAATATGTTTGTCTTGAATTAATCCATTCGTATTCACTCATTAATGTTTTTTCTTTACTTTTTTATACTTAACTCTTGTTAAAAAAAATATATCTTAAGGGAGGATGATGAGTAATATACCAAAAATTTCAAACGGTGTGCT